CCCTTCCCCAAAAAAAAAAAATACAGATGAGAAGATGTCAAATAAAAAATTCCTTGCATGTTTTTTTTATCTTGTGACTTGCATACTACTTGTGACTCTCTTCAAGAATGGATGTATCTACCCTTTGCCTCTGTGTCATTGCGTGAAACAGTATGATTTTGTGTAAAGTGTTTGTACTGATTATGTGGAAGTTTTCAATTTTCCTTGTGTATTTGTCTGTTTTGGGATTGGTGTTGGATTATCCGATGGATGTATCATACAAGCTGGAATTCATATGCCAGCCCTGTTTACCAACTTAAATCTTATGCAAATTAACAACTTAAAATATAAGTGCCGTTGATTATCTTCATGTACAAAGTTTCATGTTCTTTCTTCATTCCTTTCTCTTTTCCTTTTTAATTTCAAGAACATTTTGTTTGGAGTTGTATTTGAGCTAATTAATGTGGTCACTGTGCTCTGTAGGAGTTGAAGCCAAATCCATATTGTCTTTCCTTTTAGCTCTCAGCAAGTGATGCCTAGTACATTTCTTTTCTTATTCATGGGAATAACAGAACCCTACTAAGATACCCACAACCTTCTGGATAGTGTCCTTGATTTAATCTAACTCAATTAGCAAACCGAGGGTCAAACTATTGAAGGTGTGATACCCACATCCTTCTATTATTTTCCGTCCTATTTTATTCTGGTGATTGCCTAGAAGCTGCATATGTTCAATCATGATATATCCTTGTTTTCGTTGTTGTTGATTGTCACTATCTATTTGCGACATTCATGGGTGGGATTCTGATAGAACTGGATCATAAATAGTAAGAAAATAACAGAAAATTTATTCAAATCAATTCCCACTTTTCAACTCAATAGCAGATGAATTCATAAACTGAAATAAATATTACACATCTTAGGTATCCACTAATTCGCCCTCTTTCCTATGTATTCCACCCTTATCCTTGTTAGAAATTACTGTCTATAGAACAGTTACAAACTCTTTATCTTCCCCATTTGTGCCTACCTTTTTTATTACATTTATTTGCCTAGTAAACAGTTACGGCTATTAGTAAATCGTTATGACTCTAATATTCTGTTACCATCTTCCTCTTCCTGATATAAACCTTCTTAATGAGTGATTCACTAACCGATTCTTATTTTTGAATGGAACTAATCGGTTTCTGTTAAATTTTACAAAATAAGTATACAATTTTATTTTTATTTTATCCAAGGAGAAAACTCAAATTTCTTCATTCTACGATTTAAACGAAAAGAAGAAAAACATTAGTTTTGTATATTGGATTTAATAAAACAAATTGGAAATTTCTCACATTGGCTCTGTAAAGAATAATTTTGGGACCAAAACTGATTGCCCCGTTTTTGAGAAAAAAGTATATCAATCTGCTGATTCAATTTAGTTTGACTGGGTTGGTCAGTTCCTTGAGCCCCTCTACTATATGCAGTTAGTTTATAATTATATGGGATGGGGCAGTTTTGCTACTGGAAGATATTTATGAGGAAAGACTTGTACTATTACGAAGTAGGGAAACAAAATCATGCATGCTAGAAAAATATAGTACTCTAATATGATAACTATCTGCATATATATCATATCCAACCAGCCCTTTTATCTCTATATTGACTTTAACTTTTGAGGGAAATTGTGTTGGACAAGCAGTTCCCGCTATTCCTGTACTAGAAATAACATTCAATTAAATTTTTAGTCATGTATAGGTACTGTATGCAGCCTTCAACTTGAAAGCTATCATATGTCAGGATTTTTATAGGATAATATAAGCCTTATCAACAACATAGATAATTGGCTGATATTCTTTATTGTTGGGATATATTGGTCAACATGTCTTGCTTCATGACAGACGTTACACATTGTAAACAGGCCGACATTGGCTCAAATGATGGATCCGAGGATATTTACTCTGAACTTGGTGGGGTGTTGGATCATCCTGAATATCATGGACAACTGAAGAGGTATTTTTAGACAACTTTGTATATATCAGAGTCAAGTATTTTATTGTCTAAAATAAAATTGATTTTCTTTCATCAAACTGGTCATGAAATCACCTGACTGCAATACTCAAAATATCTTCGGTTCTTGACTGGCTGGCCTGTCATCTTCAATGCATGAATGAAACTGGATTTTCTTTAATACTGCTTTCTGCAAATATTTATCTAAAATCTCCATATATAATATTTTACTAGAAGTGGCTTTCCTTTTATCACCCCTCCCCCTTTTGACATGTATGGTATTGTAAAGAAAGCTGGGTATGAATGTTTTTCTGAAGCATACATTTCAAGCTAGAATCTGATTGAGATTGTGCATTTTACTTAGATAATCAATTTTCCCTCGTACTCTATTACAAGACTCGTAGCTTGGAAAATTTGCAGGAGGCGGAGTATAAGGTTTTGAACATTGTGAATTTGTGATAGATAAATACGCTCATTGGATGGGTGTTTTAGTAGCTTGCCAGACTTTCATTCTTGGCATGAATCAACTGACAATACAACTTTTGGACACAAAGTGTGTATCTCATCTTGAACTTGTCTATCACACCACTATACGAGATAAACACAAGGGAGAAGAGGGAAAACATGTTATTTCTTTAGAGTTGTATTTTGGATATTGATGGTATTTGTTTAACAATTGTTGGTAATATAGTTGGCAAGAACGAGCTTAGATGGTGGTGTGGCCATTTTCTTTTTGGTTGCTAAATGCTATGTTGTTTTTCTTTGTATTATGCCTCGAATACTACTGCATCTTTATGGGTGTGTTACTGAGTTTGATTTGGTTTTTGATTTTTAGTTTTTAATAAACTACTATTTTATAAAATAATTTTCGAAAACTAATCTTTATAGAATATAAGTAGGAGAGGATGTGAGAGTGTAATGAAGAATATTAGTAATAAAAAATGAAAATAAAAACCTAAAACAGAAGTTATGTTTTTTTTTTTAAAAAAAAAGAACTAAGATGTTAGGTTTGAAAGTAGTTTTTCAAATTTAGGGGGTGTATTGGATTAGGATTTTAAAGGACTTTTTTAGTGAAAAAAAATCCTGCGAATTTTAAAAGACTTTACAGGATTTTCATGATTTTTAAGATTTTGCAGGATTCTACAAGATTTAAAATCATGATTTTAATGGATTCTACAAGATTTTTAAATCAGGATTTTAATGGATTCTATGAGATTTTGTGGAGTTTTGACATTTTATAAGATTTAAAAAAAAATTCATACATTCAAATTTAAAAAAAGTCAAAGATAAAAATAATTAAAAAAAACAATAATGTCTAGATAAATAATAATAATAATTCTCCATAATATTCTATCATCTTTTTATAGCATCCACTATCAATTGTAACAATTCATCGGAATCCTCCTTGGTCCAAGCTTCATAGTTTTCTTTCTCTTTTCCTTTTTCTTTATTATTTCCATGTGAATCTCCCATTTGAATTACTAAAATAATATATGTTGAAAACCAGTTATATAAATAATTATCGATAAGAGACAAAATCAATAAAATTATATTATTATTTTTAGAAGCACA